TATTATCTATTTCCATAAGTTTGGCAACGTTTAAGCTGCGAATATCTTCTGCGTTGAGATATATTTCATACTCGCGCTCTAAAGTGTGTTTTATTTCTACACCCATCATAGAATCCATTCCAAGTTCAGCCAAGCAAATTTGTTGATTGACGCTCTTTAAGTCTTTAATACCTATAATCAAAAATTCTTTATTTAAATAAGATAAAGAAAAAAAAAGCTAGCGAAAATAAAATAAAATTATTAAATTTAGCAATAACCATAATTCGGATAAACCGAAACTTATACATAATTTTTAAGACAGCATTTACGACATTGTCCTCACGATCGCCATCTAATTGTTTTTCAGCGACTATCATACTAGCAACTATAGGTTTATCCTGTAGCAAAAATCGATTCATTTCTTCTAAACATGATGTTATTTTTTGCTGTAGAGTACTGCCAATAACAAGTTCTTTATCATTATCCTGCATATCCGCGACAAGACCGACGTCTCCAATCGCTCCCCATTGAATAGCTAATCCAGGCAAACCTTCTTCTACCCTTTTTTCGCATATTCTTTCCATAATGGAATTAGCCATACCATAATTCGTTTGGCCAGCATTTCCTCTTTCGCACGAGACGGAAGAGAAGACTACGAAATGCCGAAGATCTGAACAAAGCGTTCTAGTAAATTCGTCCAAGCATTTCGTTGCCCAGACCTTTCCCTTGAAACATTCTTCAAAAGTTTTCATCGTTTGGTTACAACAAATACAATCTTTCAAAGACACCGCGAGGTTAAATATACCATCGATGGGACCTTGATCTATTGCTGATTTTACTACAAGCTCGCAGTCTTCTCGTTTAGCCGCATCGAGACCGACCAGGATCTTAATATTCACGCCGTATGATTCCCATCTCTTGATTCTCATTTGTTGATAACCATTCTTTAAGCCGTTTCGTGAAGTAATGATAATATTTTTAGCATTTCGAAGAACCAACCAATCGATTAATTCTAAACCAAAGCTACCCAAGCCGCCAAAAATTATATAACTTTTGTTCGGGAGACATCTATAATAAAGTTCAGCCAAAATCGGTGTATTCAGTTGTTCATTTTCTTCGCGTATCTTTATTAGTACCTACGAAATTCAAGATGGATTTCGAGTTATAATTTAAGATACTACAAATAATTGAATATTAAAACAACGACCACAACTTACTTTTCCAATATGTTTACATGCAGCCGTGAATCTAAAAGCTTTCTCTATTTGATCTCTGCCGAAGATGCTTCTTACAATAGGTTTGATTGCATTTTCTTTAAGGAGTTTGTTTACTCTTGAACTTATTTCATTTCTGATTCCGTCCTTGGTAACTATAATTTGATCTAACATTACAGCATGAAAACTGATCTCCTTCAAAAAGACATCGATGTCTAACGGATTATCTGCGGCTAAGTCAAACTTTCCATTTTCTAAAAATCTCCTTTCATGAGCTAAACAACGCAGAGATGCTAGAAGTTTTTCTTCTGCTAAAGAATTTAGAACTATATCTACACCTCTACCGTCGGTTTCTTGCAAAATCATTTGTTCGAAGCTAGTATCTCGAGAATTTCCAATATGATTATCGTAGATATTGGGAAATGTTTCTTTAATGAATTTATGTTTTTCTGATGTACTAACTGTAGTGAATACTTCACAGCCTTCATGAAGAGCTAAGGTAAACACCAGTTTGGCCAACACCACCAGCACCAGAGTGGATAAGTTTTCTATCACCCTTTTTCATTTCTCCGTTAATATAAAGTGCAGCAATACATGTGGAATATACGCATGGTACTGTCGCTGCATCTTCCAAATCCCAACTTTCAGGTACGGTCCAAGAAAAAATGTCGTCCATTTGGCAAAGATTTGATAAGCATCTGAAAAAATGTTGTTCATTTCATTTTCTGTTATTTTCTATATGCGATCTCATGATTTTTAATTAGCTCACTTGTTTTGATTAAGTCCCATAATACGTCGACCATCAATAGTGATTCCGCTATATTCTAATCCAAGTACGCAGTCAACATATCTTCTTTCCTGTTGAAATTTATCTAATCCTATTTTACCTGTTGCCAACATTACGTCTTTAAAGTTTAACGATGCATAATGGATGCGAACAAGATCTGCCTTTTGATAGTCCTTCGTAATTGGTCCTTCGAGCCAACATAAAACTTAAATCTCCGCGTGACTGTAAAAAAGTATTATTTCATGATATTCGATGAAAATTTGATGAAATGTCCTTACATACCAACTGATTAACGAAGGCATGATGCATAAGCTTTGGTTCACAGGATGGAAGTAGCTGATGCCTATATGATCCCCATACGTTTCCTGGTCGTAAAACATTGATGAAAAGATCGATTTCGAATTGTTACGAATAAAGGAGCAATTCTAAAGAAAATTTCGGGGCTGTAAGATCCTGGACTAAAACAGCTCGAAAGATTTTGCCTCCAGATTCTTTCTGTAAGCAATTAATGAATCCTAACAGACAAGATTCAAAGTTTCCTTCCTCAACAAGTATCACTCTCGTGTTATCTTCTTGTGTTTCATTGGCAAGCACATTTTCTACTTCATTCAACCAGTTAAATTCATTGCTCCTAACATTAATACATAGAATATTTTTCGAAATTTTCTTGATCTTCTTTAACAATATCCACGATTCCTCGAAAGCACGTTTCTCCAAAACTATACCTAATCGAAATTCCTTTAGAATAGAATAGTCCAATGGTATATTTTCCTTTACGCACGATAAAAGGAAAGCCCCATCTTTTGTAGATTTTAAAAGTTATTTTAAACTTTCCTTTTTTTCATTGGTTAATAAACAACATGCAACTGTTAATATCGCTACATCATCTGTTCGTAATTTTGTTGATTTTGAAATTTCAACATATTTAAGAATGTCTTCTTCGCTAAATTTCTTTGGTGGTGCAAATAAATTAATGCTTGCTTGAATCGAAGGTAAATTGGCGAGAATGTCTCTGAACAATGGAGAAACAAGTTTTTCCGCAGATATATTGTCATTATCCTCAACGAGTTCTATTGTTTTCACTTTCTTCATTGGTATATTCTCAAGAGTAATATGCATACATAACGTTAATATTTCGCGTAATGACATTTCCCTTCTGTCACGATAAGCAATGAATTTATGTTCTTCGATAATTGGATCACTGACAGGTTTCTTCCGAACAATCTCACTGGCCCTAATATTATGAATTTCCACACCCTCTGTTACAATCACATCAATATCCTCAAATAATTGTACAGGTACATCTGAAATAATATTATTGAATATAAAGGAATTTGCTATATAGATTCACTTTGAATTAAAAGAAAATATTTAACATTTTTTATTGGTTGTCAAACTTTGCAGATATCGTTGATGAGCTCTAGTATCTATTATCAATTTTCGAATACCAGTCGGTACGAATAAACCTCGGGTATCTAAAATGAGTATTTTCATCTGCAATATGTTATCCAGGAATGCTACCCAATTTCTTTTCCACTCGATATGTCCTTTTTTTCCTGAAACTGAGGCACTGTTTAAACTTCGAAAGAGGCCGCTATATTGGTAACCACGCAGTTTCAGCTCTTTATAAATATCTTTCTCATCTAATTCTTCCTTCTCATTGCCAATATTTGATTTGATCAAATCAAGGGGTATTTTCTCTTGTAACAAGTTTGTTGCAACACGTATCACTCCAGTAACAATAGCAAGACCTCCTTCGGCCACTTCGAAATTACCACTGCCTGTTCATTCAAAGAACGACATATGTTAACTTCTTTAAAACAATATGTAGATACTAGTTGTGGAGAGTGGATACCTTTTTGAATCATGACTATCATTTCAATTTTGCCTTTTTTCGGAATGGAGGTAGCTCGATTAAACTTTATATTTTCATTGACAACAAATAATTCCGTGTACAATTGTCCTATTATCATGCCGAAAGTTTGCCAAACTAAACACAAATATCCTGTCGCTGGAAACAAATTTCTGCCATCGACCACGTGACCAATAACGTACTGAAATTCTACATAATCGATCGATATTTCAAATATTCGTTCACCAGAATCAATTCTCTCTTGTCTATTGTAATCTGTCACAAACCAGTCGTCTGAATGTTTCCATCTAAACACATAATAACGTTGAATTTTTATGTTACATTCAGAAGAAATAATTATTAGCCTTTTTCGTTCTCTATATCCTCGTAATTCTTACTTAATAAGTGGGGATATCATTGGAGTACCTCGACTGACCGGATATTCTACGTGTGGATATAATTTAGTAAGATCTAGCTGTATACCGCTGTTATAAATCTTCCCTAATGCTTGCAGAAAAATGATCACGTTATTTTTATCATTTAGATGATTTAATGCAATATTCCTGACGGTTGGTTGCAATGATTTTCTTAAAGTCGCTTGTAGTAGATTTTGCGATCCAATTTCAATTGTGACAACATTGTTCGGAATCAGAACTAATGATTCTGCAAAGAGTACAGGTTTCAACAGGTTATTGGTGTGATACTCAGTTGACAAGAGTTTTGCGGCTGATGTCGACCACGCGTTTCGTGGCACCGATGTACTGAGCCATTTTTCACTACTTTCCTTCGCTACTGGTATTACTTTTTTTAAATATACAAAAAGTTTTGATCCAACTGCTGCTATATATCGTCTATGATAAGGTATATTATTGCACGCTACCTCTTCCACGATAACTTCAGTTGCCTTCCAAATACAAACACATTCAAAAAAATCAATTTAATAGTAGGGAATATTTTTATTGGTAAGATCCTGATTATCTTCAAACGAACCTGTAATTTTTTAACGAATTTCTTCACAGAATCGGACGGTCCGCTAACAGTTGTACTTTTAGTTCCATTGTGACATGCGATGTCGATATCAACAGGACAGCAATTTCTCAGATCTTCATAGGAAAGCCCTACCGTTGCCATAGAACCATGAGATATTTCTGTTTCCATCAAGGCAATTCCTCGCGAATATGCTGCTAATATCATTTCCGCTGCTGTAAAACATCCATCTGCGTCGGCACATCCAAGTTCACCAACGGAATGTCCGATGATGTAGTCTGGTACTACACCTACGGTAGTTAAAAGATCTACCAAGCCGATCTGTAAAGATTTTTTCCTTTTGTTAGATCTTATCGAACATATGCACTTTTCCCAAATAAATAAACAATTGTCGATATTACCTGAACTGCAGCAATTCCGTCGATCGAATGCAAGATATTGTCGAACATGCTATTATCTTTTTCAGTTAAAATTTTATAAATATTCAATTTATACTGCTTTCATACAGCATCGCATTTCTCTATAGCTTTAGCAAATATAGGGAATCTCATTAGACTTTGACCTGTAAATTACAAATTCTACTTCCAGTACATTTGATCGCAATGGTTATTATTTTTATAGTTACGAAGAAATAATAGTACAAAAATATTCGTACCTGTAACAGACCAGTGCGATCCCATTCCAGAAAAAACAAACAATATTAGTTTTTTGATACCAGAATAATTTTTAATTTCTCTCAATTTTTCGTCAGACGATTTAGAACTAGTTATCGTGTATCCTCGACATAAATGACTTGTTGTTTCTTTGAGATGAATATCATGAAGGAGACAAATAAATTCGACATCTATCGGTCGATTATCGATCTACGTAATAGGATGTTGAAATTGTATTGATCTATTTTACTGTAGAATAAACAAGTATAACATCTTTATGTTTTCTATTTAAAAGAACATTTCACCTACATCATTTAATATGGTTACAATTGCTTCTTCGGTACGTCCAGAAAGAGTTACCAGTCTAGGCAAATCGTAATCTGGCAATCCTTTATTGACCTTTGTTTTTGGATTTGATTTAAGTAAGACGTGAGCATTAGTACCATCAAAACCGAAGGAGTTAATGGCTATGTATTCCCCATCAAACGGAGACGTTTCGGTAACAGCCATGATTCTCCCTTCTGTAAAAGCTTTCACGCCTTTGCGTAGTCGATTAAGATTGATATTTGGTGGTATTAGGCCTAACTCCATCGATATTATCGCCTGTAATATATCAAAGAAACGAAACTGAATAATTGTCTCGTCTTATACTTCAAAATATGTTTACCTTAGCAATGGAGCACATTCCACTGGCTGGTTCGGTATGACCCAAATTTGATTTGATGGAACCGACTTTAAGAGGATTGTTTCTGTTTTTTGTGAAAATCTGATCTATAGCATTAATTTCTACAGGACCAACGACTTTAGTTCCTGTACCATGAGCTTTGATGTAATTTATACATGCTGTTTGTACACCGCATTCATCGTAAAATTCTTTGAAAAGAATACTCTGAATTTGGCTAGAAGGAAATGTTATTCCCTGTTTCTTATAACCATCGCAATTAGTTTTCGCATGGATAACTGTTGCATAGATTCTTTTAGCATTTTTTTCCTTTTTGCAGAAATATAACAACTACGGCTTCGCTGCGCACGTAACCATCTGCATCTTCGTCGAAACACTTGCAACGAACATCCTCAGACAATATTCCTATTAGAGAGATACAAGATAGAATAATTGTTTAATACTCTCATGATAATTCGAAAAAAAAGGACAAATGCTTCAAGAAAATATCATAATCAATATCTAAACGTTTAAATTGCAAAGTTAGGAATGGATGAAGGCAAAGATTTGATCCAGCGACGATCGCGTAATCGCATTGTCCGTTATGTATAGCTCTATATGCGTGTTCCATCGCAAATAGACTTGAGCTGCACATGGTATCGATGTTACATGTTGGTCCAGTGACGTGCAACCAATTCGAAATTCTGTTGGTCATATAAGCTTTGCTACAGCTTATGATACCAAAACCATTTATCTACAATTGAAAAGACGTATCATACGACTTATCCGACTATATAAGTAATTGTACATAATTAATGCGTCTATAAACTGATCGTTTGATCGATTCCCCTACCTGGAGTTTGTCGTAGAACCAAGTTTTCTCTGTATCGGAGAAGCAAGAACCTAAGAATACACCTGTCCTCGTTCTACGAAGATCTTTTGGATGAATTCCAGCATCTACAATAGCTTCATAAGTATGTTTGAACAATATTCTGCCCATAGGATCCATAGTATGTGTTTCTTTAAAATCGACGTCAAAAAATAATGCATCGAATTTCTCAATATTGTTAATCTTCCCCATTCGTCGTGGAATTTCTGAATCCTCTAATAAAAGGTAAAGATAGAAAAATATTAATATTGTTTAATGGTTACGTTGTTAAATAAAATAGATTTTATACGTATAATCGATACCTGTATTTATTCCGTTATCTGTGATACAATCTTTGCGATTAAAAATATTATCTTTCAATTCATACAAATTGTTGGATTTTGGAAATCTACCAGCGATTCCGGAAATAACAACATCTTCGCCTGGTTCTAGATCGGCATATTTGAAAAATTTGTACGATTCCTCTTGCTCCTTAAACTCATTCATGACGTTATGATATTTTACATTCGTTTGTCTGAAATAGAAATTGGACACGAACTGAAATTGTTAACGAAGAATTTTTCTTTTTAATAATTCTTTCCGTCTCCATGAAATTCGTTATATCACGTCACGTATTATAAGTTCTTGTATCTTTCCGTTCGACTTATTCAAATGAAGATGTATTTTTAACGGACCTTAATGAATTTGTTTATTCCTTTTATACTAATTAGGTACGTCATGGTCAATGAAAGAGCACTGTTCAATATAGAAACGATAAAGTTAAACAGTAAAATGTATGCAGGTGTATATAAAGTGTATATATAATATGTATATAAAGTATATATATATATATATATATATAGTGTGTATATATAAATATATGTATATATATATATATATATATATATATATATATACACATATATATATGCAGACACAGGAACACATAATATTTATATACCTACGCGTGCGCTTACATAAACACTCATATAAAGCTATATCTGTTCCACATGTCCTTACTTTTCATATCTATATATATATATATATATATATATATATATATATATATATATATATTTACACACACACACATTCTGATACATAAAATATGTTTATATCTATGCGTACGCACATAAAAGTATATCTTTATCTCAATATCTTTATCTTTCATATGTAATACTTAACAAAATAGTACAAACATATATTACACTTTGTTTACCTTGTTTATTCCTTTAATAAGTTTTGTTAAAACATTATAGCGAGCCTTATAAAATCGTGTTTTGTAATATATATTTTTAAATACATAAATAAAATAGGTAAAGACGAATCAGTATTATCTGACGAGTTTTCTCTAATACAAAAATTTTACCTTCTCCGTGTTACTTTTTTGTTACGTAAAATTTAACATGTCTTATAACGATAAGGAGAACAAAAGTAAAAATAATAAGTGAACCCAAAAGGCGACTTATTTCGATACCAGAATAATAATTAATATATGATGATAATATAATTTAAAGAAATATTTTGTATGCTATCTAACCTTGAGATATATGCATAGTGAAAAAAAATAATATGTAGTAGCAAACAAACGAGCGACGCATAATTTGAGACTATTTATCACCTTCAGTTCAAAGCGCGTGTAAATTGATCGACAAGTATTGACCAAATATGAATAATCAATCAATTTATTTAGTCATGTGACTATCGTTTCGGTGTATAAGCTTGTTCTGTTAGTTCCCTCTCACGCGTATGTAACAACGTATGTGATTAGTAGACTGCGAATGTACACTTTTCAATCTCTCATATGTATATCTTTTGTTGATGGTAGCGTGTCTTGCAGAGATCTGTGCTAAATACGAAGTCGGTACGCATTTGGTTTACGATAAATGCATAGAAAAGAAAGAAATATAATTGATACATAAAAGAATTAGAATATAAATTTGCGACAAAAATAAGAATTTGTTGAATATTTTCTTAAAAATAATTAGTGAATACTTATATATTATATTAATTATAATAAACGCATAACAATCGTAAGTTAAGAGAAGGAAAAACTATATCGTTCGAAAACAAAAGAATCATTTCGTATATTTTTTCGAATATTGTTTGTATTAGACGGTCCGTCATGATTTGTTGGGAATTCGCGTTTCAAATCCTTACATAAAATGATACAATTTTCCTTCTTTTATTATCATAAATTACCGTCATCATATTTATCATGATGTATACAATATAAGTATATTCTTCTGTTTTTTTCTTCTTTTTACTGTTTCTGTAACTATATTATTACATTACATATTATTAGCATAGAAATAATAGTAATAATAGCAATAATATGAAATGAACTATCACAGAGGAAACGATATCAAAATAGCGCTAGGATGAAAATCTCATAGATGATGTGGAAACAAACTCATTTTTTGATCTTTATTAAATATAATATATACTATATATATACTAATTATTAATTTTGAAAAAATAATCGATAACTTTATGTAGTTTATATGCATTTGTCATCCAACAAAATTATATTGCTGCTATGTTTTATCCAGCATAGATCACCGCGAAATTGACGTCAGCCATCAGTGGAAAAAATAAATATAAAACATTGAATAATAACACCTTGATAAATTATCAAATAAGGAAAAAAGAGTAAATAAGTTCATTATTTTGTTTTACACCGATATAATAAAAAAAAACCATCGCAATCATGTTAACCTCAAACACGAAAAATTCCTAAACTACGTATCTGGATGCATGCTAATATACAATACATTACTAATAGAATATCTTTCTTTTTAGTTTACAAAGTTTAAAAGACACTGCAAATTTTTCCAAAATTTAATAATATTTTAGAAACTCATATGCATTGACGTAAACGATTGAATACTTATTTCCTTATTTTTGCCATAGAATCATTTGGCCAAAGCTCATTAAAATAATTATCGTAGCTACTTCGTGTTTCTCCGCGCATGCAGCGCATTTTTTGTCTTTGGAAATGTTCAAGAAGTCAGAACATCAGCTATTTACTCACACAACCAAGCAAACAATCGCTACTTTACGGGAAGTGTCAAAGTACTACCTTATTTCTTCGCGAAAAATGTCAACATTTAAATCATCTATGAGAAAGAAGTAATTCTCGACCAACATAAATAAATAAGATCTGATATTAAAGAAGAAAGTGTAACATACGGTGTTGTTTCGGCGAAGTTTTTAAAAAAATTTTTATTTGTACATAAACTATTCTCAAGAAAATATCATTTTTTAACACGATTTTCTGATTGGGTAATGGAGAGAGAGAGGAAGGGAGAGAGAGAGAGAGATTGTGATGCGAGCGATAGCGATTAAAATGAATCTATATAACGAGAAGCGAGATGAATATAAAATAATCCTTGTGAAAACAGAAATTTGAAAGCTCGTAAGTAAGTAGTCAAAATCATAAAAATATTTAGTTCAAATTATTCCCCAATATGTAATTTTATGTGTAATAAAAATGTTTAATAACTTCAATCCATGCTTTTTGATTTCTCAAGAAATATTGCAGAATAAACTAATCGAATGCAAATATATGCCACCGCATCGTATTTATTAGATAAGCAGTTTTTCAGACATTCGGAAATTAAAATTTAAATGCGTTATGTATCGAATGAAATATTACGATAAGTTTGTTCGTTCATATTTTTACGCAGATTTACCCGACCTATTTTGAATATGTTGCTATTCAGACGACCTAAGTTCATGGTAAACCTATAAATACTAAAAGTTCAATAGGCCACTAATTTCCTATCGTTAACAGAACTGGAATATATTACTATATTATCATGTAAAGAGGAAATGTATTGATACGTCAAACGCCGTTAGTATTAAAAAACTAACAACCTTAGTACGTTCGATACCACATCGCGGAAAAGAAATTCTCTCCACTGCGCATTACATTTGTTTCGAAATTTTGCAAAATATACTGCAGATTTGTATTAATTTATGCAGAAATAAAGTAAAGATTGATGTAGAAATAAAATAAAGAATGCCTTCATATATCTGTGACGTTGGACTTTTAATGAAAATCCATGCGTTACAGATATATGACGCTGGTAAAGAACATTATTAAACTCATGTTATCATTGGAGACATCTCGAAAGCAGACATTTTACAAAATGTAAGAAGGCTCATTCTTATTATTCTAACGATAATAAAATAACTTGCGCATATCATTACTATATTTTTTGGGATTTATATTACTTTTTTTGGTAATTGCATTAATTTTCTACAGTACTAAGTTTTATACATTTTATAAAATTTATTCTTAACTACATTTCTTTTTATCTCCAAAACAATGATCAAATTCACCATGTCTTTTTCAATTGGAGATAAAAATATTCGAGTAATAAGATCAAATGTTGAACGGTGGCGGTTAATTATTAACTGAGAAAAATCGTCGGAAATATAAAAGAACGATAAATTTGTAAAAATCTAAAGGTATACGTTTACTTCTTGGATAAAAAGAGGAAGTAAAGATATTTATAAAGAATTAAAAACTTCAATATATCTCTTACTTATTGCGCAAAAAAGTCTTGAATAGTTTTATCTCTTTCAATCAAACTATTTTTGATAGAACATCAAAATAAAATGAAATCTTGTTCAACATATACCACTTCCTTTTAAAATATTATATGGAAATATAATTTTTTAAATTGGTACAATCCACCTGTAGACCATCCTCCGAAGATAGCAGCTGTTATGTGACGAATTCAGATTTAGGGCAAAATATGCGCTCGTCATCGAATCTAGTAAATAACTCGGTTATTAGTATACCGAAATATATGTTTTATTATGATGCCATTAATCAGTAAATGATAGTTGAAGAAGAGGATTTTTGTGAAAGGGTTAGGCCAAAGATCGAAATGTAAATTGTGATCTGAACGATAGCTTTCACTAGAAGCACTTTTCTGGATAGAGGTTATTCATCCACTCGAATTCTCCTACCTTACTTTTTCTTTATAGCACGTTTAAGGTTTACTCTTTATTTTCACTTTATATACCATTTGTCGACTCTCTTAACTGTTTCACACACCTTAAGATAGTAATAATAATATGTAGTAGCTATTATATAACACGCTCACACTCGCAAAATCTTTCATAGCGAATGTATTTATTCGAGTATTTTCATTCTAACGATGATATTTTTGTAAAATAATATCGCATATATATATATATATATATATATATATATATATATAATATCTCGATTTGATTATGGGAGGTGATAAACTAAAATATGTATCTCTGTAAACAAAGTGATAAATCTGTGAACAAAGAAACGACAATTTACGTTTATTATTCACACTGTTAAATTTTATTTCTATTATATTATGAATCTTCTTCTAGCTCTCGTGTTGCCTTTCTCTTCTATGTTATATTTCATACTGTCCGTTTCTCTTCCAAGTCTTAATGACTCGATTTGTAGGCCACAAAGAAAAATTGTAAATAATAAAGGACAATGGAAGGGCGGAACATGAGACGCGCGGCAAATCTACCTAAAGAAAGTATACTTTCTTTACATATATATATATACGTAATGTAAGTA